CAAGAGAAATTCTTAGCTACCCGACCCCGGGACCCACGTCCGGCCCGACCCGGGACCCACCTCCCACCCCCCCACCCCCCCCCCCCCCCCTCCCCCCCCACCCCACCCACCCACCCACTCAGCCTCATGTCGGCAGCCAATGCAGCAGCAGAGGCAGAAGTGGTGATGCCTACATACTTGGCATCATCATCTATTTCGCTTGTGGGGTGCTTACTCTCCTTTGCCTCCTTTGCGGCCTTTCCCGACCTCCGAAGCCACCCGTCCAACATCATCCTCTTCAACCTCGTCGCCGACTTCTTCTTCACTCTCAAGTTCTTCATTCTCTCCACAGTATGGTATGCCACACCATCACACACCAGATCGTCGCTCCTCGGCAAGTCCTTTCACTTTATTCCTGATGGCTGTGTCTCGGCCTCTATCTATGGCCAGTTCTTCTCTCTGGCGTCAACATCGTGGAATGCCGTCTGGTGCTACAACCTCTACCGCGAGCTGGAGAATCCCGTCAAGTCGACAAAGCCCCTGATGAAGGTCTACCATGTCTTTGTATGGGGCATTGCGGTTGTTGCCGTCTTGGTCATTGTCATCACCGATGCCTACGCCCTCGCCTCGGATCAGACCTGCTGGGTCTCGGCCTCGTCGGCGGCTTCCTGGATCACAAACCTCCTCATCAACGCCTACCTTGTTGGTGCCATTGCCTCGCTTGTCTACGTTGTCCGTCGCCTCCGTCGCGGCCTCTCCATCACCCGTCACAAGCGCCGCCAGCTCGCCCTCTACCACGTCATCTACGTTGTTGTTTTCATCGCTACCTGGCTCCCGTTTGTTGTCTTTGGCTGGTGGGTCCTCCTCGCGCCGTCGTCGCCTGTCCCACGTTTCCTGCTACAGATGAACGCCGCCGCCTACTGCTCGCAGGCGGCCGCGGTCTCGTTTGTCCGCCTCGCCGACCCACGCGTCCGCCGCCGGGTCCGCAACGCCATCCGCGCCCGCCTCGGTCTCCAGCTCAGCACCGAGCCGGCACTCCGTGATCTTGACGACTTTGCCCACACAGCCTCGCGCCCGCTCGCTCCCTCGCAAGCCCGCATCGAGCCCATGCCCATCGACGATGCCGGCCCGCACGATCTCGTGGCTGACCAGTCGCTCACCGTCTCGGCCCAGCACCGGTTCTTTGACGAGCAGCGCGCGTCGGGCTACTTTCCGCCGCCCATGGTCCCGGCCCCACTCATCCTCCCCGCCCGCTCGCGAACCATTTTTGACACGGTAGAGGATCTCGCCGAGGCCGACGGCGACTCGGGCTCGCCGCTCTCGCTCATGAGCTCCTCGGTCAGCGACGCAAGTACGCCAGTCCGTGCCACCCGCGGCGCAGGCGACATCTTCCGCCACGAGCTTATGGTCTGCCTCTTCTCCGGCCTTGAGCAAGCCTTTGCTGCCGAAGCCTTTCTGGCCGCCCGCGGTGAGCCGCTGCCGGCCGACGAGCTCCAGACCCCGATCTCGGTCTCAGTCTCTGCTGCCGCCGACGTTGCCTCTACCGGCACGCCTGCAACGTCGGATCATTCGCTGATCATGACCTCGTACGCGCCGGACGCCTTTGCTGCCGTCCGCGCCCTCGCAGGTGTCGAGCCCGCCGACATCATCGCTCGCCTCAACGCCGCCGACTACCTCACCGGCGCCATTCACGCACACTTTTCCGCCGCCGCCTCTGGCTCGTTCTTCTGCAAGTCGCCCGATGGCCTGTTTGTGGTCAAGACCATGGACAAGCGCGAGCTCGCCGTCCTCCTCGATCTCATGCCGGCGTACACCGCCCACCTCACGCGTTACCCTCGCTCGCTCCTGTGCCGCTTCTACGGCGCCTTTGCCGTCTCGGGTGGCATCTTCAAGACCACGTACGTCATCATCATGTCCAACGTCCTTGCGCCCGACGCGCCCGTAGACGCCGGCGACGCGGGCGACCTCATTCCGCCGCACTCCTTTGACACAGTCTTTGATCTCAAGGGCTCGACTGTTAATCGCTCCGCCCTCAAGGTCGAGGCCCTCGAGCCGGGCGCCTCGCTCTCGGACGCTGCCTCGGGCAAGATCCTCAAGGACAACGACTTTGGCCTCCGTAGCGACGGCCTGCTCCTCGGCCCTACGCTCCGCGCGCAGTTCCTCGACCAGCTCCATGCCGACACCGAGCTCCTCCGCAGCCACAACATCATGGACTACTCGCTGCTTGTCGGCATCGCCCCGGTCGTGGGTGAGCCCGACATTCTCGAGTCGCGTGCAGCCGTCACTTTTGGCTACGACGAGCTGGGCGGTTACATCGTCTCGCGCAACGACGTCGAGCAAGTTATTCCCCGCGAGTGGTACGCTTTTGGCCTCATCGACCTCCTCCAAAAGTACGATGTGTCAAAAAGGTGGAGAGAGGCATCAAGCAGATCCGCCACACCTCGCGGACCGTCGACATCTCATCCATCTCGGCTGACCAGTACGCGGCACGAATGCTCGAGTTTTTCGCCGACACTACTATTTAGCGCCGCCGCGCGTTTACACGCCAAGTAACACACGCTTACAGGCTCGCAATGAGCCGCCCCACCATCGGCTCGGCATCAAGCAGTGCGCGCGCGCCGGCCACGGACTCGGCCGCGCCAGCGGCGAGTAGGATGGCGGTCGGCACGACTCGCACTCGCTTCATGGCCTGCTTGATATGCGCAGACTCGGGAAGGTCGTCGACATTGGCAGGCACGCTGTCGGCGTAGATGGACCGCAGAAGGGCAGCCTCGGCCGCAGCCTCGTCGACCTGTCCGTATTTGGCGATGATGCCGCGCGAGCGGGCAAAGAGCTTCGAGTTGGAAACCGCAAGGTCGACCATCCGGTTGCCGACCACCTTGCCACGGAGAACGTGCGCACCAGTCGTGAGCGCGTTGAACGAGAGCTTATACCCGAGCTCGGTGTAGAGAAAGTCCCAACTGTCGCTGTCGGCGAGCAGCGGCGCAGACGCGGCGCCGGACCGAGTCGTCACCGTCACCACGCACGGCTCAAAGCCGGCGGCAACCGCAGCGGCATTGGCCACCCCCACGCTCTCGACCTTGTGCGCCGGGCAAACCGTGAGCGCAATCTTGGTCACGCCCGGAATGCTGCCGAGAGCTGCCAGTGTGGCTGCGGCGTCAGTGAGCTTCGTGGCATCGGTGTCGACCGGCAGGTTGGCCACCACTGTCGCCCCCGTGTCGGCAAGCGCCGGCGCGAGCTCGTCGAGCAGAAACGTTGTCGAAAGCTGCCAGTCAAAGCCATCGTCTTTGGGAGCGAGCGAGAGGTCGCCGTTGCGGTTTCCCAGCGCGGCCCAGCCGCCGTCCACAAAGCCACGGACGTCGTTGATGCTCGCGCCGTACGTGGGCGGGCACTCGGACGCGTCGATGATGCCCAGGTGGCCAACGCCAAAGTCAGAGCCGACGTAGTAGATGGGCGCACCGCTGCGGAGCGACGCGCCTCCGGCCTCGACCAGCCGCGCCAGCACCTCCATGTTCTCGCCCTGGTACACCGACCGCAGCGTCGCGGCGTAGCAGTCGAGCGCATGCAGCGCCTCGGCCGCCGGATCCGACGCGCCCATGAGTGCGCTCCGGACTAGAATCTCCAACAGCATCTTGGTCGCGCTCCCGCCCTTCATCCGCGTCGAGCCGGTCACCGACTCGGGCCCGACCACTGGGTTGATAATAAAGTTGCCAGCGCCCGATGGCAAGTCCATCGACGCCACCAGCGCGTCGGCCACGTCCTTGAACGACGACGTCCAACCCTCGATGACGCTCGACCGCGCCAGCGCCACCGGGTTGAAGCCGACAAGACCGGCGATCCAGCGAATGGCCGGCTCGCTCGCCTGCTTGGCAAGGACATAGTCGAGCTGGCCGGCAACGTACGGCGCCGACAGGCCGCAGGTAATGCCGACATACACCACCAGGTCGGGCACAACATCCAGCCCCACAATCAATTGCTCCAGATCAGTGACCGCCTGATGCGGATCGTCCTCGCCGCGCTCCTGTGACTTGAGCAGAGCATAGTCGCCGCCTGCGATGAGATAAGCGACTCTGGCCCGATCCGGCACCAGCGAGGCAAACGAGGTGGCGACGTGAAAGGCCAGCCGACCAGAGGTGCCACAACCAGAGAGAATGACCAATGGTGAGGCCGCGCCAGTGCACGCCGCCCGCAGCTCTGTCGCCGTCGTCGCCACCTTCTCCCTCACAACCGCGCCAGCGAGACCTTCCTCTCCGTCAAAGCCGGTAAAGACCTGGTTGTCTGAGCACCTCAGCAGCCGCAGCATCCCACGCACATCACTCCGTGCTGCTGTCTCCAGCTCTTCCGTCAGCGCATTGCTCTGCTCTGTGTACCGCAGCATGGTCGCGAGAGTGGAGTGGCCCTCGGCACGCACGGCGGGCGCGGCGTGACAAGTGACCCGTCTCCACGTCACCACGCCCATGCGCCATCCATGCCACTTGCAGAGCATAGGCCCAAGTCGGCGGCGTGTGGCTGATCGTAGACAATGCCAAACCTGTATGTACGTATGTGGGCTGACTTGGTGTGTTACTACTGCCGCCATCTCGACTCATCTGCGCTAGCTTCCGGTGGGAGCGTGTGGAGCGAGGAGAGCTACACGGCGGAACTCCCTCCCGGGGGTAACGGGACCTCGGACAGCACACGTCCGCAGCATCAAGTGCAAGCGGGTAGCGTGGTGCGTCGTCAATGGCGTTGGGAAGCGAGAGCAGTGGACGATCAAAACGATGACGGCAGAGCGATGGCTGCGCGGACAACAGCAGCTGGATGCTCAGCCGAAGGCGGCCAGCGCAGCGCGAGAGGTAGCATGATGAGCATATCTAGCCGTACATGCCCGAGGCGATCATGGCATCGACAACCGACTGCGGCGAGGGGAACGAGCCCTTGTCGAGCTTTGAGAAGAACAGCGTTCCTTGTGGTAGTCGGTGATCTCAAACGCTCCGCGACGCGGGCGAGCGAGTTCATTGCCTCGGACGACAACGTCCGGAAAGGCGGTGGTAATGGCCCGGGCGACCTGACGGTAGCGCCCGGAGTAACCTCACGAGGTACAGTACTCAATGTGAATAGCCGGCGTGCCCTCAGGCACGGGCTCCGGTGCCGAAAACAGTCCTCCCATACCTTGTTGTCGCGTCGAGTCTGCTCCCCTTCCCCTCCCCCCCCCCCCCTCCCCCCTCCCCCCCCTCTTCCCCCCTCCTTCCCCCGGACTGCCGTCCTTCCCGTCTTTGTCAGCCAATCGCTGTCGGTTTGACGGACCAGAGGGCGACCGAGGTAGAGGAGCTGATCACGCGCGCATACACACGTACACACACATACATGCACATACACATACATACACACACGCATGTACGTACACATACACATACACACATACACACTTGCACACCCATCCATCCACCCATCCACCAATCAGCATCAGTCCATACCACCACTGCCACCAATGCCACCACTGCCACCACCTCACTCTTGCACACACACACACACACACACACACACTATGCTCCGCACTGCCCGCCAGCCCCTCCAGAATCTTGCGCGACTGGCCTCCAGCGCCGCCGCTGGTAATGAGCCTCCGGTCCTCGCCTCTGTGGCCTCGGGCGTGGCCAAGGTTGTCCTCAACCGCGAGTCCAAACTCAACGCCCTCAACTACCCCATGATCGAGCTGATGACGCCGCTGTACGAGGAGCTTGATGCCGACAACAATGTCCATGCTATTGTTCTCCGTGGTGCCGGCGAGAAGGCGTTCTGCGCAGGCGGCGATGTTGTGTCCATCGTCAACTCGATCAAGGAGAATGGCGACCTGCACCGGTACTTTTTCCGCGATGAGTACGCCCTCGACTACGCCATTGCCAGCCTCAAGACCCCACATGTGGCGCTGTACAACGGCATTGCCATGGGCGGCGGCATCGGCCTCTCGGTCCATGGTACCTTCCGCGTCGCCACAGACAGCGCACTCTTTGCCATGCCCGAGACCGCCATCGGTCTCTTCCCAGACGTCGGCGGGACCCACTTCCTCCCCCGCCTCCCGCACGGCCTCGGTATGTACCTCGCCCTCACTGGCGCCCGCGTCAAGGGTGCCGATCTTGTCTACTACGGTATCGCCACTCATCACCTCGACGCGCCCGAGGATGAGCTGTACTCGGCCCTAGCCGCGGCCTCGTCGCCCGACGCTGTCGCCGCCGCCCTCGACGACGTCTGCTCGCTCTCGCGTGACGCCCTCGACGACGGTGCTCGCGTCGCCGCCATCGAGGCCTCGCTCGGCGGCGTGCCGGTCTCGGTCGTCGACTCGGTCTTTGGCCAGGCCGCCTCTTACCCTGAGGTTGTCGACTCGCTCGCCGCCCTCGAGTCCGGTGCCGACGAGCCGGCTGTCGCCAAGTGGGCGGCCAAAACCTCCGCCATCCTCGCTGCCATGTCGCCGACCTCGCTCCTTGTCACCTTTGAGCAGATCAAGCGCGGCGGCTCGCTCACCCTCGCCGAGTCATTTGCCCTCGAGGCCCGCCTCGTCTGGCGCGTCGCCAACGGGCACGACTTTGCCGCCGGCGTCGACGCTCTCCTCATCAACAAGACCAAGATCGCCCCGCAGGACCTCTGGTCGCCCAACACCGTCGACGCCGTCACCCGCGACGCCGTCCTCGCCCACTTTGCGCCCTTTGACGATCCGGCTGATGAGCTCATCCTCGACCCGTCTGTCAACCCGGCGACGATCTAACTCCAACCCACCACCTCCCCCCCCCCCCCTCCTCCTCCTCCTCGGGCACGTGACACCTTAGCGCGGTG